TCTGCACCCTCAGAAGGAGGTTTCCATCCTCAGAAGGGGGTCTCCATCCTCAGAATGGGGTCTTTACCCTCAGGACGGGGTCTGCACCCTCAGAATGGGGTCTGCACCCTCAGAAAGGGGTCTGCACCCTCAGGACGGGATCTGCACCCTCAGGACGGGGTCTGCACCCTCAGAAGGGGGTCGCCGCTGGCAGCAGTGCAGTATTGAGAAGCAAGTTACCAGCAGTATTTTGAAGCAGATAAAGGTGTTGATGACTTTTGCCACTTAAAAAGAACATGCCAACTGAAGTCATAAAAAGTTTTCTCTTCAGAACAGTACTCCAGTGTTAAGTGTCTTTTTCAACTAATTCTTAAGTGAATTTTATTTCATACTTTTAAATCATGACACATTTCGGTTTAGATGCCTAGAAGTTTTTTCTTTAGTATCTGCATTCTTATGTAAATTGTCACACATTGGAAGTACTGTAAACTTCTATATCTTTACAAAAGAATTGGTAGAATCTGCGAGAACTTTTTTATGTGGACTGGTTATTTTTCACTTAGAAGTAAATTTAGAATTTTTAAGTAACTGGGACCACTTTAAACACATTTTCCCCCAGGTATGATCATCAAGGGGCAGCATTGAGCCATTGTAAGCATGTTGCTATTAAAAGTGCTTATTTTAAAACTTGATAAACAATTTTAAGCAAGAAGCATCTTTAATTTGGATATTTTATAAATAAACTGTAATAACCATTTTAAAGGCCAGGTAGTTTATCAGACTAAGAATAGAACATTGAGTTATTACTGAATTCCCATGAGAATGTAGTTTATTCTTTTTTTAAAAAAACTTTTTAAATATCTGACCCATATTATAAAAATACCTCAAAGAATGGCATTGTCAAAAGTCAGAAAGTTCTGATGTACTGTTTTTGCATTTTTATACTTTGTAGTACTATCTGTACTGTCTTTAAAAAAAAAACCTGTAACCTTTTAACTACCAGTAATATCTGTTGGGTTTGAGATCTCTCCTTATTTTACAAACCTTCTAAGTAAAATCCTCCATAACATCAATGGGATTATGGCGGAGTTATTAGAGACATATACCAAGGTACTTGGAGATATGATTTCTGCATTAAATTTCCTTTTCTTGGGTAATGTACTGAACCAGAGCTTGCCTTGGTACTTGTACCAATATCTGAATTGTTAGGACGGATCTTTCTTCGACCACCAAGGTCCTTTTTACTTGTAGCCCATCCCCACCTTGTCAAAAAAATTCTTCCAAGTAAGGTGCCATTGTGCGCCAATGTTCTAACTTGCTGTGTACGTTTCTATAAGCTAGAATAGATAACTCTAGCACATTTTCACAGGGCAGGAAGGACAGAGAATACCACATAAGCCCTAGGCAGCACAGGGCCTCCGTGGTTCCCTGTTTGATTTAGTCAACAGATGTTTCTCAGGTTGCCCATTCAGTCCCAGGCTTTTTTTGTCTGGACATGCAGTATTCGTTCATTTAATTAGAACAATTTGAGCTGCTGTTATATCTATAAATGTGAGATGAAGTTATTTACAAACTCAGCAGAGATGTTGAGATGAGGGTCTTTAGTCCTCATGGTGGTTCACAGGCTGTTAGCCCAAAGGTGGCACCTCTGTGGACTCGAATCCCCCAGTGACTGTGAGAGAAAGATGGGCAGTCTCCTCCTGTGAGATTTACAGCCTCAGGAAACCAATGGAGGGTCAGCTAGGAGTGGGCGGCAGAGAGAAAGTCTATGTCTTTTACCAGTATTTCAGTCCATTTACATCTACAGAAAAGATAATTTGAGTATTACTGTGTCATGGGTATTCTAACAAGCTTGGTTGTTGACTTCTGTCTTCATGAGGAAGCTGTATAATTTTTTCTTTTAAATTTTTTTATTAATTTGTGCATGTACCGTCAAATCAGATCTGACTGGTACAGGAGGAGACTGTCCCTCCTTCTCCAGCAGAGCATCTGGTGAATTCGAACCTGTGCACTTCTGGGATTGCAGTGCAGCTTCTTGTCGCTAGGCCACCAGAGCTCCTTGAGAAGCTGTGTAATTTTCTTTTGCATTTTCCATGCTTCCTCTTTACTCATGCCATGATTAATGCAAAGTTTCTTACACATACATATCACAGATACCAAAGCTTATCTTCTGGCCTGAGTTCAGAGTCCTGGTTTTGTCATTTCCCATCACGAGCTCCTGAAACCCTTGGCTTTAATTTCCTTATCTGCATGTTCAGCATAACAGAAGAATCTGCCACAGGAGGCTGTGAGAGTTTCAGTGAGCTGCGGAGAGCCCGGTGTCTGGAACTGCACTCTGTTAACTGACTCCTCACCCTTCCTGCACGAGGCTGGACACACTGGCTCTGGGATACGGTTTTCCTCTGTTCAGAAGTCAGTGGAACAACTTCACAGCTAGAGGAAACAATGCTTAGTGATGCAGATCCATTCACAGGATCCGACAGACACCCAAACTGAGCCCACCCATTCAGAGGAGGAAGGGACCACACAGAACCCATGGTTTCTTGGAGGAGTTTTCAAAGCTAGCGATGACCAGTGTCCCCGGCTCAGCTCATGTTGTATCTCAGACCTTTTTATGTGTCAAAGACGCAGAGATAGTTATCTAAGGTGGGAGTACAAGGTCAAAGAGCAGAATGTGTTGGTCTCAGTGCCCTTTTCTTCAGCACATAGCCTGGAGACAGCCAGGCGAGATCGGTGTAAGAAACAAGAAGCAGGCAGCCAAGAATAATACGTCCCCTGTACCCAAACCCTTGAAGATTAGCTGATTGTCCTCCAGTGTTACAAGTCTCCTCTTGGACCTTCAGTTTAATATAGACATGAGAAGCCACACCCAGAAGCAAAGGACCAAGACCTCAATGTATGAAGGAGAAAGCAATTATTACCTATTCTTCTTTGATGCTAAATACAAAATACATACTCTCTAAGTGGATAAACTCTACACACATCCTGTAAATAACCAGTTTATTTTCTTTTATATAGAAAGCCATGACAGAAAAATGATTAGTACATAACTATGTAAGAACATTTACATCCACACAATCAACAGATGCTTCCAATTCATATTTTAAAAATAGTTTTGAGTGTTAATCACAGGAGGACCTTGGTGGAATCATTTTGTGGACAGTTCATGTTTAGTAACAAAGTCAAGGCAGGGCTCGCAGTGCCACTCTTAGACATAAGCATTTTTATCAAACTGTTTTGAAGGGTTTGTGGTTTTAAAATCTCCCTCTCCGCCGTGGTACTTGGTCCGAGAAGACATGACTGACGTGGGCCCGTTGTATGCGTATCCCATTCTAAAAGGGAAGCAAAGAGAAAGCTTGCTAGATTACATTCTATTCAGAGGGCAAATACAAGGAGCAGGCTGTCTGCCCTGGTTCTGTGAATTATTAATGTTCGGTGCTGTAAAAGGCGATCACAGCTGTCCGATGATGGAAACCCTGGCCTGCTCCATCCTCACAGCCTCTGCCTTGCACAAGCCCAGCCCTGTGGTCACTGTCCATCCATTTCACTGAAGGTCTCCCCTCTTTCACGGACCCTCTACTTGGCCAACCAGATTCTGTGAAGAGCTAAGTCTAAATCTCCCCTTACTACGTTTCCCTCCCTTCAGAACAAGAACTCTTTCCCTGTCCGTTCTAGTTTGACAGATTCTCTCCAGAAGAAACCCATGGCTTGTCCATTTAGCGAACCATTCCTTTTTAAAAACTCTTTTAAAGTTGATCTTCCTAGAATGTAGGGCTTTGATAGTCCCCTTCATCAGAGAGGTTCCTGTTGACGTGAAATCACAAGGCCAAAGTGAAAGGAATCCACTCAGTTGCTGCCTGAACCCCAGCTCCTGGACACCCCAAGTGTGGCTGTGGAGAACTGCTTAGGGATGCCAGTGGATAACTGTTTCTGAACTAGATTTTATTCAGCCTTATTTTATTTTCATTTTATTTTTATTTTATTCAGCCTTTATTGTGAGGTAGCTCTGCTTTGATTCTAACCTGTTAGTCACAAAGCTTGTTAACTCACTGCCCAGGGACTCCATACAAAGAAACAAGCCCTCATCTTCCTGGCCTAGGTGTGCTGATTCTGCTGTCCCGACATCTTTAGAGCTGTGCCCTTCACAACTGACCATCAGCAGAATAGCATTCTGGTTTTCAAATGAAGTTCTCAGTAAGAACGACTGTATTAATAAGTAGTTCTGGGCTATCTTAGCCCTTTGGTTTCTATTAACTGTATTCCTAACTGTGGGCTTTTTTTTTTTTAAACTGTGGGATTTTGAGACGGTAGTTGGGTCTACATGGAGACCATTTGGAACGGCACTGCATTTTCCCCCAGGTCATTTTCATGCTCCTACCTGGGTGTTTTGCTGTTGTCCGATATTGAGAAGCAAAATATGACACCACCGATTATGCAGAGGGAGGCTCCCGCCCAGCCGATGAACAGAGCGGCCCCTAACTCGTACCTGTGACGGGCAGAAGGACAATGCTCACTCATTTGGAAAGTAAACAGTATTTAACACCACCAGCCAGCAACGGGCACGCAATGCTCACCGTAATTCTTGCGATCAGAATTTGAAGTAATAACACCTTGTGTATGCATCCTGTTTTGGCCTTTTTTAAAAAATAATTTTAATGAACATTTACAGATTTTGGATTTCCATTCATTGCTGCACTTCTCTCCCCGCCCAGCCCAGCCCTCCCCTGCCCCCGCCACCCCCAGTTCGTTCCTCTCTTTCAAAAGTAAAAGAAAGACTCCCTCCCTGATACACAGTCCCCTCGCACCCCTCCCACCACCCCAAGTACATTCCACTATGCAACCTTAATTGTGGACTCTTGTGATAACCATAATACCCTATCATACATCGCTTTTAAATTATTCATTCCCTCATCTGTTTCAGTGCAGTATACACAATTTATCCAGTTTTTCTCAGTCTTACCCCAACCCTGATATCAGTCCCATTTTACAACAGTTTGGCCTTTTTTTTTTTTAAATGGTAACTGTTGTTATTATTTCTCCATCTTGAAAGGGAAATGAGGGGACTTGTTGCCAGCAAATAAGAACCACTCATACCTGACCCTCCAACAGGCTGTAAATCACACAGGGAATTTCCCATCCTGCGAAGTGGCAAGGTTGGCCAGGCAACTCCTTACCCACTAGACCACCTCCTTCAACCATGGTAGATATGAAACCAAGTTATAACTTGGTTTCTACAGTCACCCAGCATCTTCCCTCTGGGCCTACCGTAACCTCACAGAAATTTCCATCTACTTTATATGCCAGAAGATAAATGTACTTAAACAGACTACTGGAATCAACTGAATAACAACAGCTTTTGGTGTGAGTAGTTGGTGGGGGGGTGGGGGAATGCCTTTGTTTTGGTCACTTGCTAGTTGGAGAAAAAAGAACCCTGGTGGAGCAGTGGGGGTTTGTTTTTTAGTGGTTTTTTTTTTTTGAGCAGTGTTTTAAGTGCTTGGATGTTAACTGCACAGCTGGTGTTTCAAACTCACCTGTGGCTAAAAAAAAAAAAAACCTGGAGATGTGCTTCTGTAAGGAGCCAAAGACTCAGAACGGACTCAAAGCCGCCCCCTAGTGGGTTTCCATGTCTAGAGATCCACGGGGTGGGGAGACTGCCCATCTTCCTCCCACAGCTGCTGGAGGATTTGAACTGCTGGAGACATGGTACCTTGGGTTAGCAGCACACAGCTCCCGCTAAGCGAGGCTATGGACTCCATGGTAAGGAGCAGGCCTGGGAATCTACAGGGAAGTTTTCCTTAGCTCTGTCGTTTTACTCAACATGAGCTATAAATATATAAATTGTCATCAGCTTGACAGCCGAGAGCAACAGATGCCAATCATGCAAGGGGCCATGTTGTTGTTATGTGCCATCGAGTCGCTTGCGACTCATAGCGACCCTATGTACAAGAGTCATAAGGGTCAATAATAAATACAGCATTATCTCACCACTACTACCCTGGAGAGACACAGAAATACCCTTGGACAACAACAAGCTGCAGGTTATGCATCTCCTTGGTGGCAGGTGACAATCCTTTCGTGGCCACTGGAGCGGATATAAAGAGAAATGAGACAGTCCCTCCCTTGGGAAGGTCACGATACAAAGAATGTAAAAAAAATCCTATTAGGGGAAACTAAATGCTACTGAAGACAGGAGGCGGGGAGAAACCCCAACCCTCACCAGTTTTCAGTGGGGACCAAAGGCAATCCTTTTGGGGTAGGAACATTCACCCCAGAGAAAGAAATGAGGCATAAAAGCACAGTGACATCTTTAGGACCATGGATTCTCATGGTTCGTTTGGGGTTTTGGTGGTTTTGGGTTTTCTTCCATAAGAAAACTTAAAAAATAGATGACATTAACAAACTCACAGGCTTCCACTACGAGTAAAAACTGATAAAACGCCATTCTCGGGCTGACCAAACTTCAGTGTGAAACAGGCCAAAGGGAATGGAGATTCCACGTTTGATATATAACACTGGGCTGTGGGAGAGTCAGTGGTGGGGCCTCTGGGTGAGGCCCAGACCCAAGATCTGATGCTGCCCACACTGAACTGGGTGCAGGACTGGGCAGTGTGCATTTCAGGGCCGCACTGGGCTGGTCACAGCAGTTGACACGGGCATCCTGGACATGTGAGCCCCATCTCCCTCTTCTCTGTGCTGCATTGCTATGGGCAGGCTTCAGCATCGTCCCTCAGCAGTGACAATGGCATGGCATGGCCAGGCCCTCGAGCCAGGGGAACAGGAAGCAGCCCGTCTGTGGGTCAGTTATGTGCACGGACTTGTCTCTGACGCAATTTCAGTGCCTGCCCTTGCACATCAAGTGTGGGGTCATGTCCCCGAGGGGCGCTGCCCAGCGAGCCCCTCACACACTTGTGTTACCCTTACGGGGAGACAGGACACAGCCAGAATGGAAAACTAGAGGGAACCACCACTTCCTGCCCTGGAGCCCAAATGATCTGCTGGGAGCGGAAAATTACCCAGCGGTTCTACTCGGAGGAATGGCAGAACAGCATGGCTGGTATCGGTGGGGAAAACCCCACATACAGTCTGGACGAAAAACCAGCCCAAATAAGGGCCGGAGGGAAAGTTCTCCTTTAAGAAGAGAGCAAAACAGATAAACTGGGAATGTCAGGAACGAAGTTTTACTAATTATGATGCCACACAGCAAAATAATATTGGAAGACACAAAGGGGAACAACTGAGACACGTTGGTGGGGGTCATCAAGTGCACCTCACAGGACCTGGTGAACAATGAGTCTTGTTGCATCTTGTGCCACCAACCATCTCTGATACGCTCGAGCCCATTGTTCCAGTCTCTGTGTCAGTCCAATCTTATTAAGGGTCTTCCTCTCTGTCTCTGACCCTCCACCTTTCCCAGCGTGGTGTCCGTTTCCAAGCACTGACCCTCTGGACCACATGCTCAAAGCATGTGAGACCACCCTTGTCTCTACGGCAGAAAAAGAAGTTCACCATCCTAGCCTCTAAAGAGCATCCCGGTTACACTTCCTCTAGGGCACATTTGTGTGTTCCCTTGGCAGACCGTGGGAGATTCTAGTGGGTGGAGTTGCCCTGCCAACCCGAGGGCATCTGTGTGACTCCACCAGCTGCTCTGGGAGACAGTCTCCTCTCAGAAAACAGGATGGAGCGGCAGCTATGCGTTGGTTCTGACCCCACAGCAATGACTTTATTGCTTCAATAGATTCAGAAACACAAGCTGAACAGGTGTACAAAATGAATGACACGATGCCCATGAATATAAGTCTGAGAGTGGATAGGTCTACACATGTATTCGTATGTGCTGATAACACCCATAAATGCAGTAAAGCATTTGGTCAGTTCTGCCCAAATACCTTGAGAGAATGAGTTGCTGGGTCTGGGGACTCGGGATCATAGTTTCAGGCTACTTCAGGGTCAACAGGTAGCATACAGGAACAAGGACAATGATCTATAGCCCACGTTGGTGACTAGTGACCAGAGCTTCACAAGCTTTCAAGCAGCAAGCAATCTAAGATACAAATATTGGTCCTCATAGAAACTCCATGTAACCCAGCTCTTCCACTATTAGGAATATGTTGTTGTTTGCCATCAAGTCGCTTGCGACTCTGTCCTGTGCCAATCACACCATTTCTGATACACCCATCCCGATTACCCCAGTCACTGAATCAATCCACCTCATAGAGGGCCTTCCTCTCCTGCGCTGTCCCTCCACCCTCCCAAGCATGATGTCCCTCTCCAAAGACCTGTCCCTCCTTACAACATGTCCAAAGTATGTTAGACGGAGCCTCAGAATCCTTGCCTCCAAGGAGCCGCCTGGTTTGACCCTCTCCAGGATGAATCTGTTTTCTTGGCAGTCCATGGTACCCTCAATACTCTTCTCCAGCACCACAGATCAAAGGCATCGATTCTCCTTCTATCCTCCTTAGTCATTGTTCAACTCTCTGATGCATAACAAGTGATAGCAAAGGCCTGTATCAGATGCACCTTCATCTCCAGAGAGACACCATTGTTCTTCAGTACTTTGGAGAGGTCCCTAACAGCTGACTTTCCCATGGCTATAAGTCTTTTAATTTCCTGTCTACTGGTGCCGAGAGTGTTGACTGTGGAGCCAAGCAAACTAAAGCTGTGAACAATCTCAATCTCTTCACCATCCATCCTGATGCTACCAGTTGGTCTAGTGGTGAGAATCTTTGTCTTCTTGGCATTGAGCCTCAATCCATATTGGAGGCTGAAATCTTTGACCCTCTGCCGCAAGTGCTTCAGGTCCTCTTCAGTTTCAGCAAGCAGGGTTGTGTCATCTGCATATCACAGATTGTTGATAGATCTTCCACCAATCTTGACCCCACATTCCTCCTCATAGAGCCTAGCCTCCCAGATAATCTGTTCTGCATACAGGTTGAAAAGGTATGGAGACAGGACACATCCCTGGCATACACCCTTCCCAATTTTGAACCATGCAGTGTTTCCTTGCTCTGTTCTGACGACTCCCTCTTGGTCCAAGTATAGGTTTCTCATTAGCACTATCAAGTGTTCTGGTATTCCCATCCTTCTCAGAGTCAGCCACAATTTGTTATGGTCCACACAGTCAAACTTCTTTGCATAGTCAATGAAACACAGATATACATTCCTCTGGTATTCCCTGCTTTCAGCCAAAATCCATCTAACATCAGCTATAATATCCCTAGTACCACGGCCCCTTCTAAACCCAGCCCAGACTTCTGGCAGTTCTCTGCTGATGTGTTGTTCCAGTTGTTTTTGGATAATCTTCAGTAGAATCTACCTGAAGGAAATTAGAACTGAGACACAGATGGAGATTTGTACACCAGTGTTCATAGCAGTGTTATTCACCTTTGCAAGTACATGGAAACAGCCCAATGTCCAACCACAAAAGAATGGATTGAGAAACTGTGGTACATTCACACAGTGGAAAACTATGCAGCACTCAGGAGAAAC